TGGTGCCACAGCTGCAGGTGTTTGAGGTCCCTTAAAGGTCCTTTTAAGTCTTTAAACTCACAACAGCTTTTGTCAAGGACATAAGTCCTTACAGGCCAAATGGACAAAGCCTAGTGTGTGCTTGCTTTGTCACCAGATTAAGACAACAAGGGACTGGATAAATTCCTAAGTTTTAGCTAAAGGTTTATAAGAAACACTGTATTTCAAGTTTAATGAACTCAAATAATTTTCAGTTTCAAGGAGCTGAGAAAAATGAAAGTAATAAAAGGAAAAAGTAGAAGATGGTAGAGAAAGTGACTGAAATGACAAAAAGGTGTGAGGTATAAAACAAATAGCAGCAGCTTCTTACAGAAGAAATCAGACCTCAGGCAAATCCTGAGTGAACAGTTTATAACCTTACTGTCTATTGATTATCAGCACTTATAAAAACTTCCCATGTGTAACTTTTTTTAAAGGAGGATCACTTTAAAGTCTTCCTTGTGGGTTAATACTGTAAATAACAAAACTGGAAAAGGATCAGGAAGTACATTTCTGCTTAACGGAAATATATTTCTAAGCAACTTGGTTACGAACAGATGAAAAAATTGGCTTGGTTAAGACTACAGGAGAAATGTAGAGAAATAAGACTACATAAACAAGAAGCAAAACAAAGTCTGATGACAAATGTGAATAAATGCACACGGTACACACAACCTCTCTGGATTCCAGAACAACTAACCACCTAACTTTGGCTACACTGTCGGTAATGTAATAAAACACCTGCTGTGTGGCCAAAACTCATGTTTCTGTGTTTTAAATCACTTTTGATCAGCACTTAGAAGCAACAGAAGGACACTAAACTAACAAAATAATGAAAATTCTTGTTACTTCTTCCTAAACCACTCATTTTGAACATACTGGGGACAAGATAAAGGACTAGAAAGCTAAAGATTTGACTTACATTACAGATCTAACTGTCATAACTGCAGCAGAAAGCATATTTCTATATATTCTATAACACTCACCTGCAATGCCTAGTATGCCAAGACATTTGCCTTGGTTTTATTTTTTAAAAAAGTGTTAATAAGTCATTCCTAAAAACCTCTAGAGAAGTTTCAAGGATTATCTTTTAAGGGTAACCCAAGTAAATGTTGATGAATAGACATTAGGTATCAACCAGCATAAGAAAGTTTAAAGTAACATGAAAAACACAAGGGCAAGGAATCTTCTCTATTTCCCTTATGCACACAACTATTCAGAATTCATGGAAAGAAAGTACAGAAACACAGATGGCTTACAGATTACTATGACAATGACGGATGATAACTACAGTTACTTATTCCAGAAGCTACACAAATAAAAGCAAGATCCTCCAAAATGAGAAACAAGAAGAGTAGGTTAATCACAGCAAAAAAGGCAAGTGGTACAGAGCAAAGAAATTTGGTAGCACAAAACCAATCCTAAATAATGACATTGATTTAGGGCACTCCTGCTGATGGAACTATTTTCTTAAGTTTTTACAGCAAAATAATTCTATTACTAAGTAGTAGAATATAATGCTTATTAAAAAACAATAGAAGTTACTAGTTTTACATCCTCAGCTGTGTGATATAAAGAAATAAAAACTAGAAACAAGTCCAAAAAGTTAAATCACAATCTTCCCATTAACTCTCTAATTTCACATAGTGAAAATTCTTTTTATCGCAAAAGGCTATGTTCACACATTTCTAAAGGAGGTAATGTGGTTAACAGCTCCGTCTGGCTCTAGAATCTGAATACATATAGATATGAAATGCAAGCAGTGTCAACAACCATATTAGCCAAGAGTACTTTATTCCTTCTACAAATGTAACAAAGATGTTATTCAGATTTCAATTTGGGAATTTCTGGCCTGTGGCAGCAGAAACTCCCAGATTTAAATGGCAGGCTTCACAAAGAAAGGCAAGATGCACCTCTCTCAACCACTTCATAAACACAGCAACAGCAAACTCAAATAACTCTAAGGATCTGACCACAAATAAATGCAAGTTTGCAGCCAGCACCTGCTGCCCCACCAGCTAATCCTCATCTCTCCCAAGGAAATGCTAGCAGGGCAGATAGGTTAATTTTGAGGACCAGATGCAGCCTGTCAGCTATCAAACAAGCAACTCTGACTTACAATAATAAGCTGTGTTTCCTTAATCAGCTCCATTTGCATCTGAGTGAAGTGTTATTCATTTGCAAGTAGGGGTTTCTTCCCAGCTGTATTTACATGGGCACACACTCTGAGTATTGTTGATTCCACATTCTCTGGACATTCTTAACCAATTTCCAAGTCCCAAGACAAGTTTGCCCCAACTTTATATTAACTTTCTGACAGTCTATTAGTCAGCTTTGCATAACGGCACATAAATAGTAGTAAATAATCATAATGAATTGTACACTTAGCAAGCAATTAATCAGTTATGAAATTTAGCATTACATCCAAATGACTATGTTACAGATATCCAGGAATCCATTCTGTCTGAAATGAAAATTACATTTGATAAAAGTTTCCAACAAAGATAAAATCATTGTAGGAATGGATCACAATCGGGTAAACACTACATACAAAGCCTCAAATTATCATTTTTATATATATCTATGTACATTATTTACATATTATCCTATATGCGATATACATATATGTAGTTTTAAACACATTTTAAGAGTTTTTTGTTGTTAATTGACTGACCAAATATTTCTATTTGTACAAATCCTGTGGGAAGGGTGACCCTTATCCATTCAAATTTACAGTTGCAGTAGTTAATCAACTATTCTAGAAATACTTAACACCTCCTTATGTAGTAATAGTTTGACAACAAAATATAATTGATTTACAAATAATAAATATATTTTTATTATTAAGGGAACAACTATTTCAGAACAGAATATAGCTCATGTTAAATGTATTTTTTGTGAGGGCAGAAGGAATATTTAATGATTCCACAGCACTCCTACTATGCAGTGCACAAATTTTAACATAGTAACCGAAGTAGCAAGAACAAAAAAAAAAGCAATTGATCTGTATCTTGTTCTGTCTAGATGTTGTAATTGTGTTCCTTTTCCATGTATCACAACTGAATATAAGAGGGAAGATACCAACCATTGGTTCAATAATATTACACTACAAAATACTACATATAACTTACTTTCCCTTTTGCCAGTATATGAGGAATTTTCTTTAGAACTGGGGGGAAACCATAAAGCAAATAATTTGATACTGATTTATATTCTATCTGTAGCATCCCCATGCATCAGAAAAGCTTACCTGCACTAAAGATGTTTACTCTTTTTAAACCTGACACTAACGTATGTATTTACTGCAAAAGTGGTATTTAATTTATTATAAAAATAAACTTTATTTCAAGTGAGGCTATAAGGCAAAGTATTTTACCTTCAAAAAAGTAGACTAGTCATTGTTTAATGTTTTATTATTGATTCACATCTGACAAGACACTTCAATGTTAAGTTAACATGGTTTTCCTTTGCAGTATCAAACAAAAATCATGCAAAGAAAATGCTAATTAAGATGTTTTAAGCACTTGATAATCAAAGTAACCTTTCCCTGACCCACATTAGTATAAGAAAAATCCAGCAAAAGAAGGCACTTAGGCTAGAGTCTGACCCATTTTCTCTCTAGAGCTGTAGAAGTAGCTCTACAAGCTAGGAAGTGAAAAAGACAAAATTAGTGCTAAAGCAAATTAAGGTTGTAACTTAATTCAACACCTTTTCATTGACAAATAATAATGCTCTCAAGAGGATTATGAGTGTAGCCAGTAATCTAAAAACTGCAAATCTTGCAGTAATAACAAGAAAATTTGAACTGAACTGAAGAGTTCAGGAGTTAAAGATATACAGTCTTTAAAAAGTTCATAACTAAGCTTCTTTTGCTTTTATGAATTTTAATCTAAGCACAGTAGTAGCAGAGTAAGATAATCATGTGATATAAACATTTACAACACTCTGGCAGAAACCAGCCCTTAACTTTAAGTTATTTGCATGTTTTATAAATTCCCAGATCAGACTTTCTTAGTAATACATATGCATGATCCATACAGCTGTATTCACAATGACCTGACAAACTAACAAAGGATATTACAAAAGCAGGATAATAAAGCACAAGTTATTCTTACTACCCTTCCCCCACCATGCATTTTACCCTTTGTGTTTTTTTATACTTACCATGCCCTCAAAGCCAACTCTGTAAAGGTTTTTAGCACCATTGTCCCAAAGAACATATGCTGCGCTATGTGGACTCGACGCACTCCAATCTTGGATTTCAGTTACCTATTCAGTTTTAAAAATACGAAAATTGTTTCTAGAACAAAGACTTAGAAGCACTATTTGAACTTAAAACCTTTTTCATCTCCTCAGAAAAATTGAAGATACAGCAGTTTTGCTGAATTTAATAAAATTTACTCTGAAGGTGCTTTCTGTTTGATACAAGTGTTCCCTAGGTGTCTTAGTAAGTTAGCAGCCTGAATATATACTTTGTAGGCCTATTTTTCTTTTGTATATTTGGTAGATAATCGAACTACAGAAGCAGAGAACAAAATCTGAACTGTAAAAATGTATTTTATGATGCTTTGACATGTTCTTACTAGAGACAGCATTTAACTAAGAAAAACAGGATGAAAGCTATTTTAATTGCTTCAGTTTGTCTGGTTTAACCTGCATTAGCTTGATGGCAATGCACTATGTTAGGAGACAAAGTCTTATTTCCAGAGCCAATCTGTTTTACAACGGTACAAAAGGAGGAGAGTGAAAAGGACTTGCCCTGATATCTCTGAAATCATGAGGCCATGCACCAAATTCTGAAGACACTTGCATTATTCAAACAATCAATTTCCAGAATTTGCCTTCATTCTTATTCGTACTTATTTAAAAGCTGTTTCTGTTATCTACCATCTGCTTTTCCTCATTAAAAACATTTATATGCATGTATACATATTTTCAGCTTGCAAATAATCCCACTATTTCAAGTTTAGTACATAAAGAAGACAATGCAAGATAAGAATCTTTATTTTGCCAAGTTTCTGAGATTTCAAAATATCTTGCCAAATTCACAGCAAGGGCTAAATAATAAAGATGAACAAGGCTGCATCTGAATATTCCCTGCTTTAAGAGATTTAAATGCCAGTAATACAATATCCACATACAACTTTGCAACGTTTTTAATTTTAAACTGGAAAAGTCCCTATAATTACTAGATGAAAAACAAAAATCCAGGGTGCAAGCACTGAAAACAAGGAGATACACAAATGTGCTGACCCACAAGCAGTAAGATTACAGAATGCAGTGATGACTAGAAAGGGTTATTCTTGAGAGTTCTGTTTTTATACCAAGTCTCCAGTAATGCTGAAATATGCCCAAGATCTTAATGTCTTAAACAGAACAATCAAGACAAAAACTTAGTAGTTCTTAAAATTTTGTACTGGTATTGTAAAAATGTAAATTTAAATTTAAAAGAACTGGTCATAGTATGCGTCCCCTCCTCTTTCTAAATGCTTGAGCATTACAGAGTAAGATTTAAACATGTCCAGCAAATGAAAATAGTAATTTTTATGATGATATTTTAACTCTAAAATTAGAAAGGCCACTGAGGCCATTACATGAGCATGCAAAAACGCATCATCTTATTTAAACCAGTTTTATTTTTACCTTTCCTCTACGCCCATTGCCACCGTCTTGATCTTCCCATTGCCAGTCAACTCCTCGCACCACCCTGGCACCTGCAAAGATTCCTCTTGCTGTAATTTTCTTTGATTTACGGCGAGACTCCAACAATACCCTGAAGTTATTAAAAGAAGAACCCACAAATGTCAAGATAAAGTCCAAAACAAATCTTTGGGGATGGGAAGGAAGAGGAGCATCTTGAAACAACCTTGAAACAACAATCATGAAATAACCCCACAAACACAGACTTCAGTGCATGAATCTCAGCCATTCAATTCTCAACTCAAACAGCAGCCCACAAGATAAAAAGAACAAGATCTTCCTAAATATGATTTATTGTATGTTTATAATTATTTTTTAATACTAACGAAAATTTCTTCCCCAAACTTCGTATTACCAGCAATAATCTTTTAACCACTTACATATAGATCTGTACTCACATTATTAAAATCATGGAACAAACATACAGAGTATACAAACAACACATTTCTTTTTCTCTTGTATGCACCCTAGGCCAATATTACTGTCCTGCAATTGCCCTGCCATTTTTATTCAGAATTATGCTATTAAGTAAGAGCTACATCCCTTTCCCCTCCATGTCTCTGTTTATTTTGTATATACTTCTTATAGCATATCTGGGCAAATATATCAGCATCCATTTTTTCAGTCATAATGTTATTTTTCTAAAGAAAACCTCTTCTTTTCCTCTGACTTCAACAGAACTGAAAGAGATAAGCCCAAACAGAACAGTTCATGAATATTTAACTTACAAATAGGAAAAAAAAAAAAAAAGACACAAACATTTTGCTGCCTTTTCCGTCATCTCAAAAGCCACCAGTTTGCATGGAACTATATTTCTTACTTCATGCCAGGACAATGTTGCCAGACAAAAGTATTTTTCAGCCGAAATTCTGAATGTTTCCTGACCTCTTCAGGAAGTGTACCACCCAACTGTTAAACTTTTAACATCCAGCAGATGGCAGACAAGGAAAACGTTAAACTGCTGGAATGAATGCAAAGAGCAGATGAAAATACCAGCCTTTTTTATCTAAGTAGTACAGGAGAGTGATAGAAAAAACGAAGATCTGTTGTTTATAGCAGCATTTTAGAAAGTTCTCAATACCTACAAAACTGAGACAAAAACCAGCATATATTACTTTGCTGCCTATGCTAGGTGTGCTGCCTATATGATATCCCAGACTCAAAAATAAAATAGGTAGAGCTTATGCTTTCCTTCATCTAAATGTCCTTAGATGCCTCTTGCCATTTTTTCTAAGATATCCCTCAAATTCAATAGCACTGCTTTGCCCTTTTCTCCTCCCTCAAACAGTTAACTTTAATCCATTTTTCTCAGCTAAGCTTGATCCAATAGAAAGAGCTCCTTGGCAGATGAAGTTGCCTCCTAGGTAAGAGGTGCAAAAACAGCTCAGTGGGAGTAAACAAAGATAGGGCGAAAGTGACAAGATGCAAAAGATTCCCTTGCATACAATCTATCTCCCAGACTAAAACTTACACTTTATACACCGTAACAGACCATTTGGAACCACACAGGAAACTTCAGCTAAAAAAAAAAAACCAAACAAACCACAAAGAAAAAAGTCTGGCAAGCATTCTCAAAAGCAATGAGATTTTTAAAAAATAAATAAATAGAAAAAGAGATTTTTATTTTGTTATCTATTCTCTATTAATTACACTAAACCAGCACTTCCTACTCTTGGATCCAACTTCTAAGTCTTGTTCTGCATTAAAGACTAGAATCGAGATATGGTACATAGATCTGCTGGCATGAATTTCAAAAAGTAACTTCTGGGTTATTTTGATTAAGCCACAGACCTGGGCATTTGAGCCGTAGTTAAACTTCAAGGCAAACTTTTGAGAAAACACACACAGCCCCTACAAGACATGATACAAGAACTCTGTTCGTGCGCTCCAACCACTTCCCTTAACTGATAAAAGCACATCACGGAATTACAACATATTTGTAAGCCTCACTTCTTCAAGAAGAAGAAATAAATGTCTTACACACATGGCATTTAACTGAGTATCATACCTAACAAAAAAAGCTTCCAGTGATTTAATTTGATAATTTTATCAAATTGTGATAATTTACACAATGCTTTAACTGTAGCTCTCCAAATATTTAGTTAACAGGCAAATATCACTGTTCTCACTTAACCAGTAGATAAAGCATGACAGAGACAGGCTTTGGATTTAGACAAGTTGTTTGAAGTCAAGAACACAAGAATAGCTATGCAAGAACACACTAAATGTGAATTTTGTTCAGAGTTCTTTGCTGGGAGACAATAAGAGATGCTTAAGAAAAGAACATGAAAACAAAGGCAAGGATAGAACAACCCTCTACAGCGTATTTCCTCTGCTTTCTGTAGTGAGCAGCTTAAGCAGTTCAAGTCAAAGGGTTTGTCCTGATCATGTTTTTCATAGCCCACAAGGAGGGTATTTTCCCTTCAATCTGTCTACACCATTTTTGAACACAATTAAACTTTCACATTCAGGAATTCATTGACATCATTTTGTGATTATACATTGTGTAAATATAATTGCCTTGTTTTAAAGCTATGATAAAGCTATGATAACACAAGAACTAGGAAGACTGCAACGAGTTTAAAAGAAACTAAATAATCATATCCTAACTTTTTTCTCCACTCCATTTTTTCTGAAATTTCCACATTTTCCAAGCTCCACATATCTGTCCTCGCTACCCTCCCTCACAAAGAGGCAGAGCCAGTAACAGAATCCACACCTCAAGCCATTACCCTGCCTAATCAAAGTTTCAGTAACCAAATCTGCAGTTTAAAAGTTAACCACAATTAGCTGTTCCTATTTAATTTCATAGGGAAAAAATTACGTTTTACCTTTCACTTCCTGGTGTGGTAATTCTGTAAAAACGATGCCTCAAGTGATGTTTGTCCCCGTGATAGCAAACTGTGCACAAGTCATAATTTGTGCATTCAGCACATTTCCATCGGATGCCAATGATGGGTTGCTGTCGACAAGTATCACACATAGTCCCATCATGCTTGATACCTGTGGGGAGAAAACGAAAAAAAAAAAAGAATAACAACTTTGCTACACCACTACACAGATTTGCTGCGCACTGCTGTAATTTGAAACCATATGCTAAAAAGTTAACAATAAAGAAAGGCTGCTAGTGAAACCCTATCGGCCTACATGACTAAGGGGAAAAGATAATGGACTTTGCCTATCTCCAGTTGTCAGTCTGTTCCCAAAATGTTTTATCTTTTCTCAGCTCAAAAAGTTGAGAAAACTATGTTTGGTTTTGTCCATCTATACAAATCAGAGAAAGAAAACGAGAAATTCTTTAACTCCAAGTTAAAGGGTCAGAAATGCGTATATCAAAACATACAGGCAATCTGGAATTCTACCTCTGGATTAAGACTATCAACACACCTTGTACCACAAAGGCTACTGCGTTCAACTGTGCATGACAGTTTGGAAATCATTGGCTTGACTTACACATTTTGTAAAATGGAAAAGGTAAGCACTTATCTCTATTCTTTTTATACAGGAAAAAATTAAGTTCTCTTGAATAGGTGCCATTAGCTTCAGGAAAACCTGTTACCATTTTTGAAGCATTTTACTGCTTCATACGTTGGGTTTTTTGAAATGAATGCGCCAAAGACAGGCCAGATGTAACCCACCAGCATGTGCTTTGCCCAGTCTTCCACAAAAACTGATTTTTCAAGACTACTTACTCCTACAGCTTTGCCAAGCTATAGCCGAGTGAAAGTGATCAGTCACAGACAGTTTCTGGCCGTGCATTCTGAATACAGTGAACAGGCACAAGTTTATTTAAAAAAAAAAAAAATCAAATTCTGCTGCTGTTTGGAAAAAAAATTGAGCAATAGAAGAGGGAAGCACTGGCATTCAGTCTGTAGCACAAGATAAAAAAGATTGGAATAACACAGAATTTTCCCAGTCACTCAGCCTTAAAAAAAAAAAGCCAAAAAAACAGATCACTCTGAAATTAGTTAGGGAAAAGAATGGTTTTTGTCCTCCCCAGAAGGGATGCTTTTGGAAATGACTGCCAAATCCACTATAAACCTATTAGTCACTTGTGTCCAGTAGCTGAGCCACCTGCAGTGAAGAAAAATCAACAGCTGGAGATGCAAACCTGAAGGAAATGCCTTCTTGTCTGATCATTTCACAGAATCACGTAATAGCTGATGTTGGAAGTAACCTCTGGAGATTGTCTACTCCAACCAGCACTGCTCAAAGCAGGGTAAACTAGCACCAGCTGCCCGGGACTATATTCAGTCAGGTTTTGCGCACCTGCAAGAACACAGACTCCACAACTTCTGGGCAGCCTGTTCCAGTGTTCAATCATCCCTATAGCAAAAATGTTTCTCTTATGCTGAAGTGGAAATTCCTGTATTTCAATTTGTGCCCATTGCTTCTTGTCCTGTCACTTTAACCACTGAAAAGAGCCTGGCTCCGTTCTCTTTGCAAGACCCATTAGCTATTTATACACACTGGTAAGATCCCTCTGAGCCTTCTCTTCTCCCAGCTAAAGACCACCAGATCCCTCAGCCTCACCTCATACCAGATGCCTTAAGATCCCTTAAAACACATTTGTAGCCCTTTGCTTGGCACACTCAGTATGCCCACGTCTCTCTCACACTGGGCAGCCCAGAACTGGACACAGTGCTCCAGATGTGGCCTCACCAGTGAAAGAGAGGGGAAGGACCACCTCCCTCAACCTGCTGGCAACACTCCTCCTAATGCAGCCCAGGATACCACTGTCCTTCATTGCCACAAGGGCACATTGTTGGCTCATGGTCACTTGGTTGTCCACTGGGACCTCCAGGTCCTTTCCTGCAAAGCTGCATTCCAGCCAATTGTCCCCAGTTTGTATCAGTTACTCCTCCACAGCTGCAGGACTCAGCCTTTCCCGTTGTTGAAGCACATGCTATCCCTGTCGGCCCATTTCTCCAGTCTGTCAAGGACCCTCTGAATGCCAGCAAAATCATCCCGTGTATCATTTCTCCTAACCAAGAAGGCTTCTCACTCCATCCGCTTCTAACCTTGATTATAAACGTATTTAGGAAGATTTCTGGCACCATGATTAAAAGTTTTCCTGATGCATGAACACTGAAATAAATATTTAGCTAAGGATGGAAAAGGAAACATATTTGGAGCCCAGAACTGGACACAGCACCACAGAGATCTGAGCACCTCTTCAGGGCAGTCCAAAATAGCCTTTGATGACAACAAAAACCCTGAAACTGCTGACGTTATACTAAATGATCACTGTAATTCCTGGAGTGGTTCATGACTAAGGCAGCATCCATACTTCAACCACAAAGTCTGTGCTGAAGTTTTGAAGGTCTGGCACAGACAAGTCCTATAACCCATAACATTATTTGCCAACTCCAACTGCCAGATAACACACCTCATATACCATAATAATTCTAACCTTCTACATTTAGAAAGTATTTGCTGCCTGGTAATAACAACTAAAAATGCTACTTTTCTACAAAACAAGAACTTAGAAATCACCCATATATTTTCTGCCCCCACACAACTCCATCAATGACATTGTTCCCTGTGTGGAGGGTTAATACCAAGGAGAAAGCTGTCTGTCTTGTTATGTACGCTGAGACTTTTGTGTCTGGCATTTGTTGATTATCTGTAACACTCAAAAAGATAGTATTAGCTATGATCTTGCGGTGGCTGCCTCACTGCTATGAATGGTATTGAACCATTTTACTACTTTTTGGTAGTCTTCAAGAGCAGGTGCATTAAAAGGACTCGGATAAGCAAGGCAACAAAACAGTAACAGGTTAAGAAGTCTAACTAGTTATGGTGCTTGGGATTGAGGGGTGGTATTTATTTTTTTAAAAAATTCATTGCTAAATTGGTATTTCAATAGAAACAGAGAAGTTACACATCTTTGGAGTTTTTTAACGTTTGCTGAACTTCAGGGAAGACAGTTTGCCAAGGATCACATTTATTCTGGATGTAAAAGGACCAAGAAATTAGGTGCTGCATGATTCTCCAATTTGTCCAAGCAACAGGAAAGAGGGCAGAAGAGAGGTATAATCAGGAGTCATGTAATACATAACTAGGTCATGTCACAGTAAACTTAAATAAAGACTATACATTTCTAGCCAGTGAGGCAAAAGGTGCTGTGGAAAAACTCAGAAAATTCCTTAGGAAAGACCAAGGGAAAAAAAAAAAATACAAAGATGTTTGACTCAAAAGCCACTTTACTGACTGTAGCATCTGGGACTTAGAACAGTGTATGTCTGTATTTGGAGTCTCTGATCAGAAGAGTCACATCTCTATCTCACAGATCCCTAAACACCACCCTGATAGACACAGTCGTTTTTCGTCCACTCCTTGACACATGATTCCAGCACCAACACCCACTTCAGTGCATACCTCACCTGACCATGCTGCTCCATTCTTTTCATTGCACCAGTGAAAGGTTTTTGCAGAGTTGAGCCATAAACTGGATCAAGAAACATACCCAGCTGAAAAACAGCCAGGAAGAAAAATATTCAGCTGGATTGGTTTCCCAGTCCTGTTCTTTGTGGTGCTGTACCAACACTGCTGGCACGACAAACAAAGCATTGCAGGGCAGGAGCAGGCAAGTAATCCTGTTATAGAATGTTTAACCACTGCACTAGAGATCTGGAAGGAGAAGTAGATTTGTATGCCTCCGGTGACAGTGGACTAAGAAAGAGTTTTAACTTCATCTGCTCAAAAAAGATGCTAAAATGAGATGTTACTACTGGATTACAAAATGTGACAGCTAAACTCTTATTCATGTTCATAATACAAACAAAATGAGATATTTAAATCAACAAGTATGTTTTAAAGAATGTTGAAAGATTTTTTTTTTTTTTTTAAGTTGAACTAAGTGTTATAGGTACATGAGTGTGGTGACCTGACTTTGGCCAGCTGCCAGACACCCACCCAGCCACTCACTCTCTCCCCCTCCTCTAACAGGATGGGGAGTGAAAATAAAATGAAAAAGCTTGTAAGTCAAGATAAAAGTAAGATCACTTACCAATTACCATCACAGGCAAAGCAGACTTGACTTGGGAAAAATTAAATATGTTGCCAGTTATAAAAAAAAAGGTAGGATAGTGAGAAAGACAAAAACTAAAACACCTTCTCCCTATACCCCCCTCGCTTCTTCCCAGATCAGCTTCACTCCTTCATTCCCAACTCCTCTATCTCCCTGCTTCTCCCAAGGGGAGACAGAATCATAGAATCACTCTGGTTAGAAAACACCCTTAAGATCATCAAGTCTAACCATTAAGCTAGCACTACCAAGTCCACCGCTAAACCATGTCCCTAAGCATCGTGTCTACACATCTTTTAAATACCTCCAGGGATGGTGACTCAACCACTTCCCTTTTTGGTGTCAGAGAGGGAACTGGGGGTTATGGTCCATCCATAACAGCTCCTCACACTTTTCCCCTGCCCCAGCATGGGTCCTCTCCATGGGCTGCAGTTCTTCAGGAAAACACTGCTCAAGTATGGGCTCTCTATGGGTTGTAGCTTCCTTAAGGGCATGTCCATCTGCTCCAGCATGGCGTCCCCCACAGGCTGCTGTGTGGGTACCTGCTGC